TCAAAAGGTGTCTGTTATTGAGTTTAATAAATACATCAAACCAGAGCCTTCTGAGCCCCAGGCTCTGCAGATACCATACTAGCACTTTCCCACTGGGACTAGTATAATATTTACACCCAGGATTTGAAAAATGGTGCCATGCTCAAGGAAACTCATCTGCTTATTAAGAAAAAGTTTTAATGAAATATTTAGCAAATCCAAAAACCATGTAACATACCCACTTAATTTAAAGAATATGAATTTACAAATATCCACCCTACTATCCAACTTGAGAACATGTCTTTTTTTTTGAAACATTTCTAATTAAACTCTTCTTGAGCTGTGGTCCTGAAGGGTTAGGCTGCCTCAGTTATTACTGATGAAAAATAAGACCATTAAAGCTTGACCCTTCAAGATTGTACTGCCAGACCCAAGCTTGTTACTGACTTATTCAAAACTCTCTGAAGCCAAATGGCATAATGAGTTGAATAAGCTCTTTCTCCATTTTCAGGGAAAAGTAGTAAATGCCGAAAGAATGACTTTGCCATTCTTTGGGAGGATAAAGAGGAAGAAATGCTCTGTTTTATTTCCCCCGAGTCTAAGCATAATCTTCAGGCCAGATGAACTCATGGAAATTCATGAAGACAAGGGCAGTTTCCACAAAGTAATCCAGGAAGTTAGGGAGTTTGGTCACCTCATACTAGACTCCGCTCCCCAAGTGAATCACCAAAGGAACCATACATACACATAGTTAGCAGCAGCAGCAGGGTCCTGATATTACCTCGACAGACCCAGAGTGCTTCTTCCAAGCACATCAAGAGTTATTCTGTTTCAGTTTTGGATTCATGTTTACCAACCCTGCACAGCTTAGATGTAAGCCCAGGATGCCATACTGTTAATTGATATTGCTAAATGTAACTGCGCATACAGACGGGCACACACCGACTGCTGTTTCCTTGATTTCAACAAGTTTTCCAAATAATTACCCATATAAAAAGCCAGTTAAAAACCAGAATGACAAATCAGTTTTCAACAAAAATGTAGTAACTCACAGATAACAAACATTTCTTGTCACAAGGATCAGCCCACTCCTTAGTCAGTGCACCAGTTCACCTTGGATTTTTACCATTGTGATGTGAAAGCTGTTGAGGGAGATGCGGTCAGGATCCAGAGAACTCAGTCTATTGCATTTGCTCCTGCCTCTGTCTCAGAGCACACACCAACTCTGCTCTCCAGCCTGTAATGGTCCTGTTCCAGACTCTCCTGTTTTTATTGCCCACAAATCTTCAGAGAAACCACGCACTGACTTCGTACTAGACGGTACATATTACCTGAGTGATGCTCTAGTACGCATCATCCATGAGGAGATTCAGGAACTCTCTGTGCTGTTGACACTGGGCTGGGCATCATCACACCTACAGGGACGGCGAGTGGGAGCAGAGGAGGGGACTTCTCAGCTGAGCAAACTTCTCCCGCCACCGAACGAGAAAAACATGCACATGGTCCGCAGTGACTGTCCTAGCTTGGGGTCTTTGCTTCCTTTCAACTTTATCTTAACATGCACACACTGCTATATTTAAAATGGATAACCAACAAGGACCTACTCTATACCCCAGGGAACTCTGCTCATTAATGTGTAACATCTTAAAGGAGAAAAGAATTTGAAAAAGAATACATACATGTATACATATACAAGAATCACTTTGCTATACAAGTGAAACTGACACCGCGTTGTTACCCAACTATACTCCAATATAAAAGAAAAAGCTGAAACAAAACAAAACCTCACAAATTCAAACATCAGTCATAGTTAGACGTCATAGTCTTTGCCCAAACTACAAGGTCACAGCTCAGATAATATCTCTCCCTGTATCTACAAGTGAATCACAAGAACTGCATAACCTGAGGAGCCAAAAATATTGTTTAAATGTCTGGCTATCTAAGAAACGGCACTATAAGCATTTCTAATAAATTTGTAGATTGTTACTGCACACGAATTGCTGAATTTAATATTATTACAAATTCACATGGGGTGATAATTGTGAAGGAGAGCAGGATTCTACTTCTATACTGGTCTGCAGATCAATAAGTCAAGGACATAATAGAGAACAGATGAAGCTTTCCATCTTTTAATTCGAAACTTTTGGTGTTGTTATTGTTGGGTTGCTAAGTCGTGTCTGACTCCTTTCGATCCCATGGACTGCAGCATGCTAAGCTCCTCGGTCCTTCACCATTTAATTTTTTCAAATTAAAAAAAAAGTTTAATTTGAAATTTTAAAATGTAATAATAGACTGAACTAAAAATGTACTCAAAAAATTCTATGGTGTTATTGTTGATAGTATTTGAGATACAATGTTTGGTTCCGTTCATTTCACTTTTCTTTGAATTCCCCTTCCTCACATCCTTTTTTCTTTGATATGAGTACATACTGTGTGCAAAGCATTGTGAAGAGTGAACAGAAGTGAGCAAAACAGGAAAGTCATGTATTACTTTCTAGTGGGTAATGATGACCTTTATTTAAAAGAATCCCTTTTTCAATCAATCGAAAATGTGTTATCTTTCTTTTCCACTTCAGTTCTTCCTTGCATATTTTCCCCTTCCTTTGGTCTCATCTTTTTCACTCTTCCCTCATCAAACCCTAACATAAACGTAAAGCCATAAAGAGTGTGTCGCCTCATTCCTAGGAAGGACACCTGCTTCCCCTTGGGGAGACTGAAGAGACTAGAGACCCCACAGCCTTGAATCTCAGGTTTCACGGGGTGTTCTGTGTAGGCGGATGCTGACTGCTCTGCTGAGCCTACACTTTGTCTGACATTTTACCGCCATTAGGCAAACATTATTCTTTCAGTTGGTATTTGTTCTATGTGCTGTATACTCAGAGGTGTGTGATTTATATAAGTCCCCATCTCTTCTTGGTGGCTTAGGCTAAATTATTACCCAGGCATTCCAATTTAGACGCATGATGAGGGACAGATTACTAAGCCCCCAACGCTATACCTCTGCCAAACAAAGCCTAATTCTTTATTTATCACATCATGCACAAAACTCACGTTTCTAATAAAAATGTGGGCTGATTTATCAGCTGAAATAGCTTCAGGGCTTCTGGTTTTTCCAACTTTATTCTTGAAGAATGCATTTTTTAAAACTTTAGAGACTGATGTGGCTAGGCATATTTAGATGTTACTACTTAAAAAATAAGTATATTGCTGCTTTCGGTTACTTAGATGAAGTGACTGTATTTGTAGAGGGTTCTGGAGGGTCCTGATTTTTTCATATAGTTCCAGCACAACCACCCTCAGCACCCCTTTCACCCCAAAATGTGTCCCTATATGGATGCTCTGAATTTGAAGGCTACAAGAGTACGTTCCATGTAATATTCCTCTGGAATGTTTAGAAAATCCTGAGTGGGCAGGCCGTGGGCTGCAGAGGGGCCTGGGTGGAAGGAGTTCACACCCCCCACAGTGTCCCCACAGCAGCAAGAATTCCCACATGAGAGCATGTCTATTGAGGCCAGCTGATTCAGAGGTACATTAATCCACATTATAAAGAAGAATTAAGAGGTTAAAGATATTTTTAAAAGCCTGAATTAAGTATTAAAAAGTTGGCTGTGAAGGGAGCAGTAAAATGCTCAGAGCCTTTGTTATTCTGATGCTGTGTGTGAATTTCCAAGAGGAGTTTGTCCAAGGAAACTCTCTCTTCTGGGGCCACTTCCCAGAGGCAGGGTTCAAAGAAACACACTTTAGGGAGCGTTGCCAGGTAGAACGTAGTTTTCCTACTCAGAATTCAAACTGTCGTGCTGGAGAAGACTCTTGAGAATCCCTTGGACTGCAAGGAGATCCAATCAGTCAATCTTAAAGGGAAATCGAACCTGAATATTCATTGGAAAGACTGATGCTAAAGCTGAAACTCCAATAATTTGGCCACTTGATGCAAAGTGGCCACTTGATTCATTGTAAAAGACCCTGATGCTGGGAAAGATTGAAGGCAGGAGAAGGGGACGACAGAGGATGAGGTGGTTGGATGGCATCACTGACTTGATGGACATGAGTTTGAGCAAACTCTGGGAGTTAGTGAAGGACACAGAAGCCTTGTGTGCTGTAGTCCAAGGGGTTGCAAAGAATTAGACACAACTGAGTGACTGAACAATTAGGACTTCAGAATTAAGACTCTGGAGCCACATAATACTCTATTTAGTTCTCTCTATTGTATTCAAGTGCTAAGGAGAGAGCAAAGCAGCTGACTGTTGGTCAGACCACAGTGACCATTGGCCAGACCACATGGACTAGAGCCAGGAGAATTGCATGCCTTATGGTTTAGAATGGAGCTCAGATTTGGGTGGAGGACCAAGACTTAATGCAAGTAATAAGCAAAAGAAAGAGGCAATGCTTGGGGCTCTGCTCTGGAAAACAGATACAGAGTGAATACCTAGGGAAAAATACACTCACACATCTTGGATGATACAGGGGAGATCTCTGAAGATATTCTAAGAACTGTGAGAAAAGGGAGCATATCATGCCTCAGGCTGAGCTCACCACTTTGCATACAGAGAAACAGTAAAGAAACAGAACCCGGGGGTGGTAGAGGATAAGACATCTTACAAGGAATTGGTTTACCGGACAGTGGAGGCTAGCTAGTCAGATCCACGCCATCAGGAAGGGCAGGCTGGAGACCTGGCTACTGGTGGGCTGTTTTCTCCTATGAGGAAGCTTGGATCTGCCCTGCTGGTGGATCAGGCCCTCCCACAGTATCCAGAATAATCTCGCTTACCTGATCCAACCAACTGTGTACTTTAATCCATGAGATGTCTTCAGTAACATCTGCACAGTGCTTCTCTGATGCACTGACTATTCTTCATTGTAAAACATCCCCCTTTTTATGTGATATTACTTGTTTTGAAACCAATATCTCCTGATATTTGTGTAAACCCTCCAGCCTTCTTTTGTTTATTGTTAGCAATCACATCTTTTTTTCTTTTATATACCATTGAACCAGAATCCTTGAATGCAGTAGGATAATGAGATCCAAAGAGGAGGGTCCAAGGCACAGCACATAATCGTGGATGGCATTTTGTGGTGGCCATGGTGGACAGCAGAGTTGAAGCAGCATCAGAACTGTCCACTCGAGCAGACCTGTGGGCTGGCTGACTGATCACGCTGCTCCTAGAGCTGAAATAGGTAGGAAACCTGCTCTGTTCTTACTTGGTCTGATCTGTGTAAGAAAAGTTCTAGGTCAAGTGAAAGAATTCTAACTTGAATCATAAAAATGGAGTCATGGCCCCTCACTCAATTCCCAGATTGGAGCCAGTTGACAGACTCAGAATTCTTCAATACAGATGTGGCCAACTCCTCTCAAGGAAGTACCCTTGGCCCCAAATCTATAGTTACTCTTTCCCCCTGCCTTCCCCTGTAGCCTTTTACCGGGGTGACTGTACCATGGGAAAGGGAAATCATTGTTCTTTCAGGACCACTGGATACTGACTCTGACCTGACCCAACTCCAGGAGACCCAGAAAGTCACTGTGGTCCACCAGCAGAGGAGGGACTTCTGAGAGTCAGTGAACAATGGAGTTTTAGCAGAGGCCAGTCTCACAGTGGGTTCAGGGCATCCCCAAACCTGTCATGTAGTTATTTCCCTGGGTCCAGGGCCATTGTTTGGACAGACAGAATTAGCAACTGGAGCAGTCCCCACATTGGTTCTCTGAGCTGGAGTATGAGGGCTCTAGAGGTGGGAAAAACCATGCAGATACTTCTAGAATAGCCTTCACTGAGAAATGGGGTGGATTGTTTTTTCATGTCCACATTCCTGAATACAGGTCACCTGTGTTAGCACAAGAAACAGACTTAACTCATGTGGAAGACAGGTTGAAGGTGACCTACTGAAGGCCCCCAGTTTCTTGTACACATTTTTTTATTCAAAAGTTGTTATAGACATAAAAGCAATTATGTTTTTTGTTTGTTTGCTGTAAGATGCAAAGGATAGGATGGAGGTGAAGATTTGGAGCAGACCCTGGTGGCTTAGAGGATAAAGCGTCTGCCTGCAATGCGGGAGACCCGGGTTTGATCCTTGGGTTGGGAAGATCCCCTGGAGAAGGAAATGGCAACCCACTCCAGTATTCTTGCCTGGAGTATCCCATGGACAGAGGAGCCTGGTGGGCTACAGTCCACAGGGTCGCAAAGAGTTGGACACAACTGAGCGACCACTATCTTTCTTTCTTTCCTTCCTTCCTTCCCTCCCTCCCTCCCTCCCTCCTTCCCTCCTCTCTTTCTTTCTTTCTTTCTTGATAGACAAGAAGGGGAATACAGAGCAAAAGGTATGCCAAGGCCCCATTTTAAGAGGAGAGTCCTCAAAGGCTGTTTTTTGGATCCTTTGGCTTTGTTGGTCTCTTTGTTAGAATTATATTGGCTCTTTTGCCTTTGATTAACAGGCAGAAGCAAGAAACTCAAAGGACCGAGAGAAAAGATCAACGCTACATATTTACACGGACTAACTCACAAGGCAATACTCAAATCAGCAGTCTGTGAATTTCCTGCAAAACTTGGGCAGGTAGAAAGAATAGGGAGGGTAGAATTTAGGAGAGACAGGGAGGCAGGTTCAGAAGGATTTCACCCGATTCATTTGCTCTGTCTCAGCACACACTCAGTGGTCCATTAGCTCTGCCTTAAGTCACACAAAATCTTTCTCCACTAGCTCCTGGTTCCTGTGTCTACTGTTGCAATGGGAAGGAAGTTGTCCTCCATAATTCCGGATGGGAACCAAACGGAGCTGCTCTGAAATGTTGAAAGATTAAATATTCTAATCTCTGCCTCACACAAAAATGTCCACACAGCCTGTGAGTTGTGCAGAAAATTCCTCTTTGAGGTATAAGCATACCTGCTTTTTTCTGAAATTCCTCAAAATAACTAGGTGCCATACAAGCCTACTTCCATCCAGTGAAGGGTGCGCATGATGAGAGCACACAGGAGCTTTGTTCTGAGAGAAGGCTGGAGCCCAGAACCTTCTACGCCACACATGCACACCTGCCTCCCAGCTCAACTGCCTTGTGCCCAAACTCCTCGCCCCACCACCTCCGGTCTTCCAATGAAAAGGACTGAACCACAGAGTAGCTCAGTTAGATCTTGACCCCTCATTAATTGTTTCCAAGGGGAGGGGGGAGGACCTGAAAGTACATTTTGGTAGAAAAACAGTGTAGGGAGAAGGACTTCAATTCAATGTATAAAAACACAAAACCGGGATAAAAGTCTAGAAAGCTTTATGGTGGAGCGATTTCATTCATACACAGTTTACATTCCAAGGACAGTGGCCACCAAGGTGTGAAAATATGGAATGCAAATAAATAAAAGCACACAGATCTAGAATAGGACTCGAATGAATGTGTCCATCAAGACATCACCTGTCCAGACCCACCTCTTGATTCCTCCCCTGGAAAAGGCCAGACACACAAAGAACAGACCAGACTCACTTAGAAGATTAATCCAGAACCCTGCTTATTTATTTTCCTCTATGAAACAATTACCATTTTTATCTGAGAGGAATACAGGGAATTTCCAATTATAATTATTATTTCTGAGAAGTAGAATGCCTACTCTTTCCTAATGTGGAGTAAAAATGCTTAATTTCCACTTGAAATTAAGCACTTTAAATACCAGCCAAATTTAACTTTATCCAAATAGACATATTTTTAATATTTTTGAGAATATAAGTATCTAGCTTCAGAAAAATCTAAAAATAAGATTATACATCAAGCTTTTATATCATTTACAGAAATGATTTCAAATATTGCAAAAGGAGCTATTTCTACGGTTACCAAGAGAATTTAAGAGGAAGAAAATTCTGTGATAACTTTTAAGGATTTACAGAAGGAAAAATACTGGCATTTAAAAAGCATCTTCTCTAAAAGTGCTGACTTCATGCTCAGATCGTTTTCTGTGCTTATCTGCTCAGGCTCGTCTGGCTGTTCCAGGCGCTGTGCAGTGAGCTTGAGAGCAACTGGGAAAATGAGTTTGGGGATTTTTTTTTAAGGTAACAACTCTCTACCATAAAAGCAATTTCCACTTAACAAAAACAACAGAAAAAAAAAAAAAAAAGAAATACCTGCATTTACTATTGGTTCTGCAAAATAGCCACATGGAAATAAGCATAACTATTTTGTAATCACTTCAAGCAATACACAGTTAACTTAAATCTCTGGGAACTTTTTAGGGACATGACTCTTTGCAACACTATGGACTGTATCCTACTAGGCTTCTCTGTCCATGGGATTCTCCAGGCAAGAATACTGGAGTGGGTTGCCATTTCCTCCTCCAGGAGATCCTTCCTGACCCAGGGATCGAACCCATGTCTCTTGCATCTCCTACATTGGCAGGTGGATTCCTTATCACACATGCCACCGGGGAAGTCCTGTATATTGATAAGACTATTATTTAACTTACATATACATGATGTAATGAGCGCTTATCTTACCTGGAACAATATGTCTCCTTCGTACTTAACATGAAACTCTGCTAAAGCATAGATGTGCCCTAGTGTTCCATGAAGATGCATTTGCTTCCTGACCTTTATCCAAGAAAATTTTAAGGGACGACGTCCTGGTATATGACCATGTCTATAGAAACAAACAGCAGCAAAGAACAGTGTATTAGTTATTGAGATTTGTCTTTTAATCATCCTCAAGAGATGACTAGAGTCTATGAGAAAATAAATGAAAGGAGTTATATATATCATTGGAAGTGGTAAGACCTCTAATTTGGAGATTGGAAGATGTCTGAAATGATCTATGCTATTTTGTTGTTTAGATCAGTGATTCCTGCACTTACAAATGAGTACATTTTAAGACACAAATATATTCAAGTAACTGTCATTCAGTCACCCACCTTTTAATCTTAAACAACAGCATGAATAGATCAATTACTGCAAAATGTCTGTGTCGTTTCATCTTAAGATTTGTATATAAAACTTCTGACAATCTATTTCATTCACACTGAGTGGTTGTGGAGACGACTTTTTTTAGAAAAACCATCCCCCGAGAATTCCAATGGTCGATTAGAGTCATGGAGGCAATCTAGATTCTCTGCCTTTATGATTCCATAATGCAGCTTCTATGTATTTTCCATCATACACATGAAAACTGACTTTCTTTATGAAATCTACTTTCATCTTTCTCTTTATTTTTGAAAACTTATGGGCTACAACTTAGGATTGGAATACACATTTTCATATTTTTATTCCTTTTTTTCACTTGCAAAATCCTGCACATTAAACATTCTCTAATTCCCCCTGTGCCTACTGGCGCGTCCATACTCTGTACCAACACCTTCAGCATCATGCCCCGTGCCTGCCATGTCCAGTGGGTGCCCTTCTGGTCCAAGTGTCCTCGGGCACTGGGAAAGCTAACCACTAGTGTGCAATCATTCATTCGCCGCATCCGTGTAATTGGCTTTAGTTAAATCCTCTGTCACTGTGGCCTCAGCTTTTGGATACGGACATTTGCTGCATTTAAATTTGGGGATTTTTACTGTTTGCATGTCTTAGCTAGCTTTGTAGTCTTAGCTACAGCAATCTTGATGGTATGGTGGTAGGTATTGTGGCTACTTAACTTGGAGATACCGTTTCTTTGGGATTTTGTGTTAATGTCTAGCCTTCATCGTTTTTTTCTGTGGAGCACTTACCAGTGCTGTTCAAGATTCACGTCTCAGATTCACAGCCTCTGGCTCATGCAACTCTCATTAAAGACTCTGTTGCTCATTCTCTCCTGTTGTAGCAAAGCCATGTACTAAACCGCCCAGTCTGATGGGCTGTGTTCATTTCTCTGCAGCTAATTTGCTTGTTTTATGAGGCCTCTCATAGGACTTTGGGTCTCACAGTGCTTTGAGTCTGAGGTCACATTATTGTTGCTGTTCAGCCAATCAGTCATGTCCAACTCTTTGCGACCCCATAGACTCCACCCTGCCACACTTCCCTGTCCATCACCAACTCCCGGAGCTTGCTCAAACTCATGTCCATTGAGTCAGTGATTGCATCCAACTATCTCATCCTCTGTCATCCCCTTCTCCTCCTGCCTTCAATCTTTCCCAGCATCAGGGTCTTTTCAAATGAGTCAGTTCTTTGCATCAGGTGGCCAAAGGATTGAGCTTCAGTTTGAGCATCAGTCCTTATAATGAATATTCAAGTTTGATTTCCTTTAGAATTGACTGGTTTGATCTCCTTGTTGTCCAAGGGACTCTGAAGAGTCTTCTCTAGCATGTTAATAGAGTCCAACAGAGCAATGTGAATCTGACTTAATATTCTAAACTGAACTTTTAGGTAAAATGTTTATCTCTCAGAAGCCATGCTAATCTAAGTCTTCTTAAAGAAGTTTGACTGTGGGATGCTAACAAGAATTTTATTTTATTTAATTTATTAAAATAGTGACTGAGTCAAAGGAAAATACCATCACACAGAAAAACATGTTAACACAGATCAATAGCATATCTATCGCCATATATTTATATAAATATGTGTATACTATATAAACTCAGCCACACCGATCATCCTGTCACCAACTTGCCCTTGTTACTGAAAACTACCATGGGTGTCTTTCTAATCCCCGCAGTTTATCCTTAGACACAGACACTTGTCAAAAGAAAGAGAGTTGTTCAGTCATGTCCAACTCTTTGCGGCCCCATGGACTGTAGCCCGCCATGGGCCTCCACCCATGGAATTTTCCAGGCAAGGATACTGGAGTGGGTTGCCATTTCCTTCTCCATGGGATCTTCCCCATGGCCCAGGGATCGAACCCAGCTCTCCTGCACTGCAGGCAGACTTTTTACCCTCTGAGCCACCAGGGAAGTCCACATGTCGAAGGCTGCATGTTATTCTGTATGATTGTCCTCCAGTTACTGAGCCAATCCTTGTTGTTGACTGTGCAGATTATTTCAGCGTTATTGTGGGCAAACATTGTGAATAATTATAATTGCTTTTCGGAGATTGCTTTTTAGAAATACTATTGTAAAAGTTCATGCCATTTTATGGAAACAGACATATTGTGACTAAAAATAAAAACCAAGAGCATTCTTGAGGAAGAAAGAGTAATTCGGGCCAACATATATTAGATTCTAAGGGTATAAAGAAGGGAAACAGGACATCTTCCCACTCGGTCTTGTATCTGGGCAGAAGAAATTAGTTCCTATAAATAGATTGCATGTGATCCTCTTGCTTTTTTTTCAATGTGTTTCTCATTGATTACTGCAGGCACCTCTGGTAATATTTTTTCTTTCCCTTTTAATTGGTAACCCAACCTTAATCTTGTTGGAGAAAGTAATATTTCTGGATAAGATTCTCCTTTTATTGATTCATTTACAAAAAAGCGTGGCCCTGGGCACAACTCTGGCCAGTGAGATAGAGCCAAAAACTCTAAGGACTGGGGGGATGTTTTTGCTAGCCTGATGCAGACATCAACCTTCTTTCTTTCTTTCTGAATAAGAAAGAATGTGATGTTGGAGATGGAATGGGATCTTGAAATCCTGAGGACAACACACATGAGGACAAAAGCCACACCAAAAAGATGGAGAGAAAGCAAAAGCAGTGGGAAATTAAAGCCACTGATTCCAAGTGAAAAAGGAGACCAGGCACATCTAGGGAACAGAGTTCATGGGGATATTCCTGCCCAGAGGTCAGACCCTCATATGTACTAGGAGCACAATAAATGTTTAATGTTAGATAATTCAAATTTTTAATTGTTTGTAGATTTGTTTTTTCTACTTTTAAGATGATTTTCAGCCTGGAATTTCCAGGAATTAATTTTAAGAAAAAATGTGCTGCATTTGAATATCTCAAATTTTAAGTACAAGTTAGTCTGCTAGTTCTATTATGGATTCCCTTTGTCTTCAGAACATACCATGCTTCTTAAGTCTGTGGAGATTGAATGCCGAGGTGTTTGGCGATCTTTATTTTGATTTTAGTTAAACATAAATAGACAATGATTTTGAACCCTCCAAAATCTCCCTCCAAATTTTAGTTATAATTTCTAATCCAAATCTTCTCAAAGAAGGCAACTGTTAATAAATTAAAACAAAATCTATGGCCCTAACAGCATCACCAACTAAAATCATGTTAAAATATTTATGGTTATTAAAAAAAAAACCCTTTGAAATGACTTGTAAAATTGTATGCTGTTTACACTCACAGTTAAAGCAGGGGTCCATTTCAGTGAAAGATGCTAAATAACACAATTAAGAAACAATACCAAGTTTTTTTTCACAGAGGATTTGTCTAAGATTTTTCTTCTTGGGTCTCAGGTTTAAGCCTTCAATATTTCTTGCAGATTTTATTCATGATTACCTTTGCATTATCTCCAGAGAGTCTCCTATTAGTGCAAGTTTATGTTGAACCTTGCTGAACTACAGTCATTATTTTGAACAATATTAGAATCATCGTAATTACTTTCTCTCAGTATGAGTAATCAGTACAATCGGTTCAGATCATTCTGGGCTATGCAAACTTAAAATTTATTCAGAAAATTGTCATTTGAAGATTTCTGAAGAAATATTTTATTTCATTTGAGTGTACAATTTTGAGAATTCTAATCATCTCTAATTGCTCTTTTTATTCTATTCTTTGCAATTGTTATGAATTGCCACCAAGAGATGAATATTTATCAAGCTCTTATTTATTCCAAAGAACATAGCTTTATATATCTATCAGATTTGCTGTCATCCATTCAGTCTCTCATTCTCCTTTAAGGTGGAGAAACCTTAGCATGATTGCTTAAATTTTAGATCACTAATAGGGACCCTTTTGCTAATGGTGGCTTTAAAAGACATGTTGATTGGACTAACTTAACTCTAACCATGGCCCAGAATCCTGTGTGCTATTGAACAACTAGGAAGGTGGTCTGCATTCCATATTTTGGGAACAAGTTTGTTTGGCACACATCCAGTTTATTAACTTCCTCCCCAAATCCTGACCAAATAAAGGTCATGGCTGCTGATCCCGTGGCACCTTGCTTCCTGTTACTGGTCCACTCTGTTCATTTAACCCATCACAGCACTCACAAGACAGATGGCTGGACTTGGGTTGCAAATGGTCATTTATGGGTCATCCAGCCATGTTCTCTGAATTTTATTAGCTTCTATTTATTTCATGCCAAGAAAAAAAATATCTCTACAGTCCAAGTTCAGGGGCTAGCAATGTATTTTTTTATTTTTGTATATATTGGACTTACCCACGTCTTATGTTTTGCAATATTAAACATCACTAAACAGCATCTTCTTTTGCACAGATGTGGAAAATGGAAGATACTGTGGATTCAAAGGTAAGAGATGATCTTGTCATTTTAAACAGTTCTGAGCACTGTCTCACAAGTATAGACATGGCCTGGGAGCCTGGCTAGGCTTGTGGCTCTGTCCCCAAGGTATGGTGTGACCTTGCTTGTGTCTCCTACATGCTCTGAGATTCCTTGTCTGCCAAGAAGGGGGGACAAGATGTTCTCTGAGACCTGGAAGAGGATTACGAGCACTTAGGTCTATGTTACTACTCAACACAGTGATTGCACGGATTAGAATAAACAGTGAATGCAGAAATTCATGGAAATGATAGAAATGTACACATTGAACAATAAAATATAAATATCTTTAAGTTAAGAATAATCTACAATTTAAGTTTTTTCTAATTCAATATGCAACTCCACCTATGAAGAGCTCACTTCTTCCTACAGTTTTATTAAAAACTCTATGTTTTTAATAAAAATTGTTGGACACGACTGAAGTGACTTAGCAGTAGCAGTAGCAGCATGTTTTTATTAAATTGGATGCTGAACAGTTGATTTTATCAGAACTAGTGATTTTGTTTTTAATTTACTAGTAGCCAAAGATTTCAGACAAAAATTCTCAGGCCAAGCAAAAAATGATTTGGTATAACTGGGAAGTTAAAGTCTTATTGAAAAGTACACATATTTGTAACATACCACAAAGTTTTATAGCCTTAATGTGTAAAGCATGCTGCTGCTGCTGCTGCTAAGTCGCTTCAGTCGTGTCCGACTC